CCTGCAGCATCTGAAAAATGTTCTTCAGTTCATGAGGTGGAGCCGTCTCCAGCTGGGTCTACGAGACACAAAGGATTCGGAAGATTTTAAAACAAGGTACACATCATTGACTGAATGTTTGTCAGCTCTGACAGTTGTCTCTGAGGATTTGGAAAAAATGATTTTACCTTGAGCAGCTGCAGCACACCCAGGGAGAAGGGCTCGTTACAGTACGAACTGTAGGTCACCATCTCTATGAGGAGAGACAGGGGACCTGACAACTCGCGCATGGCGAACATCACCTGGTAGATCACAATGACAAAGAGAAAGTCAAAGAAGTTCTTTTGATTGTTTGTCCTGATAAATACGTCACCGCCCTAAACGGATTATCTGGTTCTTTTGTATCTCTACATGACAAAAATGACTTAATGTGGATCAAATGAAGTCAATCAAGTCAGGAAAAGTTTTAAATCCTGTGAGTTGTTGGTCTGTATGTTACCTCCAGAAGGTAAGGCTGTCCCTCTGGAGTGAAGAGTGAGGCCAGGATGTCCGCATGGAGGGGAAGGAGCAGGGTGGAGGACGGGGCGTTAGCCACGCGCAGTTTAAACCCTTCTGGAGCTACGCAGGACGACAGGTGAGAAATGAGAGGATCGCAATGAGAGCTGGATCGTTCGAAAACATCAACCCTGTGACCTTCAAGATTTGAATTAAGTGTCTCACCCTGCGTCCGCTGGGGGCCGAGCTCAGAGTGCAGAGTGATGAGGGCCAGAGTGCTGTGGAGGTGAAGGAACTCCCGAGCCTGAGCTGGACTCCACCTCCGGTTCTGTAGACACACACAGGAAAAGTGTGGGCTTTGAGGGGGGGAGGCTTTAAGCGACAGGAGCATCTACAGTTAAAAGTAAAAACTTCATGCAAAGCTGCTATACAGAAATCTCAGAACTACAATATAGGACTGGATATGCAGTATAATGGTCTCCTTTAAAGGAAGAAAATCATGAGTGAAAAAGTGCAGGGGGTCAAAGTGAAAGTTTTTCAAATAAAGGCTGCATATTACACAGTTCTACCTGGTTGTTTTGCCTATTGGGTCCCAACAGAAAGATGAGCATCCGGCGATAAGCCGAGTGTTTCAACAATAACTGGCAAGGACCGCAACCCTGAGAGAGAGAGAGAGAGAGAGAGAGAGAGAGAGAGAGAGAGAGAGAGAGAGAGAGAGAGAGAGAGAGAGAGAGAGAGAGAGAGAGAGAGAGAGAGAGAGAGAGAGAGAGAGAGAGAGAGAGAGAGAGAGAGAGAGAGAGAGAGAGAGAGAGAGAGAGAGAGAGAGAGAGAGAGAGAGAGAGAGAGAGAACAAAAGACTTGGAAAATCAGCTTATTGTCTTTTAATTTCACGTCTGTACTTTGAACACTGAAGAGTGGAGAAAAGTCTAAATCTAATTATTTGTGGGTGGTTTGTTACCCTCTGAGCGAAGTTACTGAAGAGACCGAAGTATTGCGCACAGTTTTTCACATTCTCAGGAACATCTTTGTCCAACAAGGAAAGCAGGGCGTCGGTCAGGCTGTCCAATCCCGGGTCTCTAAAGTGAAGCGCGCTCTCCAGAGTCTTTTCAAGGATGGCTGCAACCACCACCCTCACCTCCCTTACACTGCACTCCAACAGACAAACCCTGAGAAGGAGAAATAAATATGATCACTATCAGTGTTGTAAATGAGGAGCAGAATGAATGGAATTGAACCTATGAGGCAGAAAACACCAGTCTGAATTTAACATGTGATAATGATGTATAAACATCCTCAGTATCTAATGAGATGAACAAGGCTGACACAAACATAGAGCAGTCTAAAACGCCATTATAGTGAGAGACTTGTTGTGGTTGAGCTGGTAGCTTTGACCTTGAGACACACAGCTGAGTATATCTCCTTTCATTTGGAAGCAGCGTGTGCTATGTAAAGGGGACAGAGGGTGTACTGATATTTGACAACCAATCATGTATGAGGACCATATGGTCACCCCCATGCCTGCACACAGTAGTGTAATACAACACCTTTCTCAAAAACACACACACAAACAGTTTGGGAAACTATTCTCTTGCTCTAAATGCTTATATTTCACAGTGACAGGCTCTTTCAGCCAATCAGCATCCAGTCAGTGTGCAACACACACTATGTTTTTAATACTCCCGCTGTCAGTACAATTAAAAGCAGGTTTAAGAGTACTCCAGAGGCTCAGATAGTGTTTGTGTGTGTGTGTGTGTGTGTGTTTGTATTGGTGCCATTAAAACATTTTATAGAGATCAAATGACAATTACGTATATAAAGCTCGAGTGTGTAAGTCTCTGTGTAGAGAGAGAGAGTGACACAAGCGTTAGTGGCTGCAGCAGCATTACCAGGGTGGAATTATTTGACCCTGGCCTGATAGTTCAATGTGGATGGATTACAATGAGTGAGCAATGCTGTGAGCTGCCAAGTCTCTAGTATCACATATCACTAGGACAGCCACAAAAATTCTGCAGTGATTAATCCCAGGCCCCCACAGTCATACAGTACCCATGCTTGATGTTTCCAGTACTGCATTAAGAGGAAAATCAGTCTATTCTGTCAGGTCATTTTTGCAGCATGGTTCAAATTATGAACCAACTGCAGTTTGACAAATACACTGGCAAGTTGTAGAGATGCCAACGCTTTTCTGCTAACCTTTTTTTGTAGCAGGTAGATAGAAAGCTGCACTTTGTTTCATTTTGTCTGCCCTCTGGCCGTCAAACCAATGGAGGGAAAGTTATTTTAAACTGTTGTGATTAGCTGAAATAATTACAAATGTAGTCATTTCTGACCTGGTAATCTCTCGTCCCTCTGGTTCAACCAGGTACTGCACCATCCACTGGCACGCTTCACAGCTCTTAGACAGCAACACCTCCACTGTCGCCATCCACTCCTCTGTGTCCACCCTGCAGGAGATACAGATGTAATACTGATCTAACGTTGCTACTCATGAGGGATGTTCATCACTGACAGGTGTGGACATACCGGAGTTTCTTTTTGGTGTGTAGGTAGGTGTGAAAGAGAAAGTGAACAGCCAGCTGAAGACTTTCTTTGGCCATAGGCTGGTAGTCTGGATGCTTCAGCTTTGTCTGTAACACACAACAAATATACTACTTACAATCGTATGGTATGCCTTTCTGTATTTTATTGCTGTTTCTATGATGAACAATCGTGTAGTTTGGTTATATTGTTGAAATAAATGGCGTAATTAAGTTCCCTGGTAATCCCAATGTGGTGTTTTCATTACATGTCACCATTATGTGTTCAAAGTGAAAAGGGTACGGAGAAAGAACCAAAGGAAACATTACATACATGGTCTAAGAAAAGCAATAATTCCCTAAATGTTAGACAGTAAAATTCTGAACAAGTGAACATTTTGGTTCCTTAAGCACAGATTGTGCACACTGCTTGTGTGGTTTAGTTGTACCGTTGCATCAAAGTAGCAAAAGAGAAATTTGATTTGTTTGAGTTTAGTAAATTAAGACCATAAAAAGAATTACAGTAAGATGGTATGAGTGACAACAGAGATTCTAGTTGCATATACTACAACAAGTACAGTGCAGAAGGGAAAAGGTAAAATAAATATGATGCAAATATAAAAGCAAATATTTAGAGAAATATACATTACAATATTTGCTGTATAAATGAAGCTTATCAGAAGTGCTTACTGCGTTGACGGAGGCCAGGGAGAGGGTGAAGTTGAAGTAGTCGCTGTTGTAGACGTCTCTGTTCCTCATGAACTTGAGATTCTCATCTCTCACCATCTGCACAAAACACAAATGGAGAGGTCAGATGAACCTGAGCGATCGAGCCGATGCTCCTACTCTTTCTAACAGAGCAGCTGTAAGAATTACTTCTCCAACACAGGCAGCTTGATGCCACTTTACCTGATAGATGCTGGCAGGCATCTTCTCTACAAACAGGCCCTTTTTCTCTCCCTTGCGAACCAAGCGGGTGAGGAGGGTGAGGCGGTCGTTGTTGGCCCTGGGGGGGCGAGGAGAGGACTGCGGAGAAACATCGGGAGAGGACGGGGCAGACCTGGGAAATATAAAGACAGAGGCCGGATGATAATATGCTTCATATTTCATTCAGTCATTGGTTTCCCCAAATTACAAATTACAGATAAATGTGTGTTTGATGGCGGCAATGTTTGCAATGTTTTTTGAGGTGAGTATAGTATATGGTGGGAGGTTCACTCACAGTGTAAGGTCCTCAGCCTCCTGCCTCATGATGCTGACTCTGCTTTTCTTGGGCAGGACGGGTGAGTTCTGGTCACTGATCTTCTGATAGAACAACATGTAGGCGTTCCAGTACCTCCTCCTCACATCAGGGTATGGGTTGGCTGCGGACACACACGGACGGACACACACACACACACACACACCCCAAGGTTACTTAGTGTGTGCCTCATGAGGAAACAATGTGTGCAGTGGTTGAGTTTCACATATTTTTAAGCTTAGCGATTGAATGTACGCTGTTCCATGTCAGTCCATGTCAGACTTTGTAAATGTTACTTACATTGGTCGTAAACTTTCGGACGGTACTCTCCACCAAAGCACTCATACTCCAGAGTTTCATCATTCATATCAAACTCCTCCACCACGTTGTCATTGAACTTGTACCAACGTCCACGGGCGCCACCACTAAGAGATAAGGACAGTCAAAGATGGACAAAGGAGGGACAAGGAAAATGTCAGATTAGATTCAGGTTCATCCCGAATTTACAACTTTAGAACTGGGAACTCCGCACATGCTTGAATGAATAATAAATCAACAATAACAAAAAAGGCACACATAAAACAAATACACAATGTCCTGAGTCTTTTCTCTCACAAGATTTAGAAATTTCTGATACTGCAGTACAGGTCTGCCACCAAGGCGTGGTGTCCACCTGCATGCCAACCAGCCTGTCACCTGGCGCTCTAAACAACATAAAGGATAACTGACTGGGAAGCAGCTCCAGAATGTGTCTAATTTCCTGGAGAGAGCTCAACATCCTGAGAACAAACTTTCTTTGTAGTTGTTTTAAGCAGGGATAGGAACAAGCGAGTGAGCGAGAGCGGCGTGCCAAATATTAGCTCCTGCGGTCTTTTTACATTCCACTTCCTCAGTGAGCATTCCTGCCTTCCAGAGCCAGACATCTGGAGATGCTTACAAACTAAACCAGGACAGCCCACACAAAGCCTGATGCTGCATTCATGTGCCCCAAGGAGGTCCTCTAAAATCCGCCTGGAAAACTAAAGCAACAGATTATGTGCTTCACTAATCACTGGGTATGTGCTTCTTATGTAAAGTAGGAAAAGGAGCTGGAAAATACTATCAGAAAACTTTGCAGCACATAGTGTTTTTGATTTTCAGAGAATATTAGTCCTTTAAACGACTGGATGGGTGGAGGAATTTTACTACAGCGTCTCTTACCGTCTGTCTTTAATGAAGGAGTAATAGTGTCCGGCATGTGCCTGACCGCTGTGGACAACAACTCCCACGAGTTCGTAGTTCTCTGAAATCGTGACTTTCTTCCTTGGTGACCCTCCTGAGGTCCCATCGCCTCGCCCCTCTCCGCCCTCTCCGCTGCAGTCTTGACGAGCCATTCCAGATACGGTGTAGGGCTCCATGTTCAGCACCCAGGGGAACTGTACACCCACAAGGCAGAGTTCATATAAATCATATTTCTATCTCTTAGATTGGAGGTGTTGTAACAAAAAACATCAGAGTGAATCCTAGTGAAGGGAGATTTCTTACCCTGATCTGTTCGTCATATTTGATGGAGCGCCCGCTTTCCCAGTCAAAGCCGAAGCGCATGAGGTGAATGCAGAGAACGCTGGGCAGGGATTTGATACACGTCCTCTTCACTGTGGTTCTCTGTACACATGAACAAATGTACACATTGTAAGTATGTATATGTAAGAAAGACATCAATGTAGTTAGAATAAAAACATGCATATACACACACCTTCTCCTTGCATTTCTCACAGTAGTAGGCGTTACTGCCCTCCAGCACCTCTCCTCTGACAAATTGGTCCAATGAGATCTCCAAACTTTGACAAGACGTCACTCCAAGGTTCAAAGCCATGAACGTTTCTTCACGCTCGTACCTTTATAATAACAACAGGTCAAAAGTCAAACATCATCTGTGACGTGTCTCAAAATGAAACGGTAGACTTGGAGTTTGAGGGGAAAAAACATTCTTGCTCACCGGTGAGGACAGTCTTTACAAATCTTCTGGTCGGAGAAGATTCCCTGAAATGTGTTTTTGAAGATCTGCTCTCGACCCATTTTCTGGTGGAATGGAGTTTCATCACTAATCATTATCGTAATAACTAATTAGGTATTATAAGTGTGTAGCTGGTGCTTTGTGTGCGAGTCTTACCTTGAGATGTTCGTCAAGCTGGTCCACCAGGCTAGTGAAGAACTCATAAGCATCCTGCTGTTCTCGTACATACAACTCCTTGTTCCACATCTTGAAGATCTGCCACAGACGCATTTGCACATGGACATTTATTACAGTTAGGTAATAAACTATTAACTAAGTCACGCCACACTATAACTGAAGAAACCATGTGCTTGTCAGGTCAACGACTCAGAGTTCAGGGATTTCTTTGACGTTGCAGACAATGATGGCGTCATTATAGAGGAGGTGGATGTTTCTGTGATTAGTATACTTTTTACTGATTGATCTTGTTATTTAGAGAGAGAGAAAAAACATTACTGCTGGGTGTTTGTATTGTTTAAACCTTGCAGGCATAATGTGCAGCACAACATACTGAATCATCAGCGTGCAGTTCAGTTTTCTCAATGAGACAAACTCACATGTTTTTGTTCACTGCGTAAATTCATGTTTAGATTGCAACTTAATGACTTAAGGCCCACACTTGTGCAGCAACACCTGGAAGTTCATGGGTTGAGTGCATTACAATCAGAGCATCTGTGGTTTCCAGTCAAAACTATACTGTCCATTACCTTCCAGAAGTTCTCAGGTACGTAGTACTGCAGTTTGCTCTCCATCAGGTGGCCAAACAAAGACTGGACCTGGTAGAAAACGCTCTCTTCTGGCTGATCGGTGTCATCTTCAATGGACAGGAAAGCCTTAAAACATACATCATCATTAAGTCACTCACTCAGTCTGGACTCAAAGAGCAGATGCCCCCTGGTGACAACAGAAGGTAAACAGCACAATGAAAGCATGTTTACCTCTGGTAGACCAGGCTGCATGTAGAGCTGCTGAAACACAGCATTCATGTAACATGTGGCTCCACCGTTCTTCAACCCAACAAAACCTGAGACGGACCGGCTCTCTACAGGGGGTAGATACTGAGACAGACACAGAGAGTTAGTGTCACAGCTAAACCATAAACCACTGTCAAACTATGTGTAACAACAAATATTATTTCTATAGGCTACTAATACTATCAGTGTCTTACATCAAACTCCTTGCAGAGGGAAGGATCAGACTGGTGGTGCATAGACATGAGCTCCCTGGTGATTAGTCGGAGGTTCGAGAGAGAGCTGTCTGCCAGCATCACCAACACCTCATAGGCTGCCAGCCGGCTGCTGGCTGTGCTGCACCTGACCAGACACGTACATGAGGAAGATGACAAAAGATTTAGGTGATGGTTTGCAGTGTTTTGTCAACTGCCCCAAAAAAACAAAAAATGGCAGAATGTTATTAAATTGACTCACAATAGTCCACTACAGAAAAATAAACTGTAACTGATGAATCAGATTGAGATGCCTTACTTAGGGTGGAAGTCATGGCTGGGGGCGGGGGAGGGAGTGGGGTTCGAACTGTTAATGATGATGCGCGAGGCTCGAAACAGGAAGTCATCCAGCAACTGCTGGATCAGAGACGGACCTGAAGAAAAGAGTTACACATCCTCACATTACATATGAGTATTCTCCACTTCTATAATAATCTTCCAAAATGTGTTGAACGGGTGCAGATATATATATATAGAAGTAACCTTGTTTGCGCTCACCGAGATGTTCCTTCTCATTGCCACAGAGTGAGAGCAAGGTCTTGATGAGGCGGAGGTGTCCTGCCAGGAGGATGTTGTCCGCCTCACTGGTCTCCATCTCAGAGCTCCAACTAGGCTCAAAGTTGTCAAGCCAAGAGATCTCGTCCTCCAGCATTGTGGCTGCACTCACTTTTACCACCTCCATCTCTGAAGCTGGACGAGGACAGGCGGGTCGAGAAGAGGGAGAGAGAGTACAAGGCAGAAAGAAACACTGACCTTTAATGGCGGAAACCAGAAGCTATAACCTCTCTTCCATCAATTCCTATATCTGAAACAACACTTCATATCTATGTATTGACAAGCTGAAAAGCACATTTATTGGCTTACTGGTGAGGTCATCCAGAAGCTGACATCTTAGGTCAAAGTACTCAGTGCACTGGGACAACAACCTGACAAGAAAAAGCAACATCAACACAAGACCTTTGCTGAAGTTTCAGTGATGCATAGCTTGTGTGTTTCTTGCTGAATTACCTCTGGTTGACCCCTCTCATGACAGATGTGGGACTCCATAATGGCAGCTGAGCGGTGAGAATGACCGAGAGGAGGAACAAGTTGGGTTTCTGGACTTCTGCGAAGGCTGAAGTGTCAGACTGGCTCAGGGTGTAGAGCTGGTCACAAGCAACACGGCGGATCTGACAGAGGCAGGGACAGAGCACGTAAACACACACTTCTAAGTTTGGGATATGTTTCTTCTGTGCAGTCTGTTCAATAAAAAAAGAGGGGGTTGTTTACCTCTCCACTAGGAGATCCCAGCAGAATATCGATGATGAAATCATTGACAGAGGGGAGGTTGTAAAAAGAACCTGGTGAGAGAAACACAGGATTTAGTGTCAATGTAGAGGAATGGCAAACACAGAAATTACACAATCTCCATACTAAAGAAAATGTACATACTACAGTATCATAAACTGTTTAGAGGACTAACAGCAACGTACAGTAATGACGAAAAAGTGAGTGTGTATGTTTGCAGTGTGTTTGTGCTCCTGCATGAGTCTTACATAGCTGCTGGCAACGTAACTGCAGACAGGTAACCAGCAGTGACAGAGCCTCGCGGGCAATGATGGCATCTTTGATAGAGACACTCTGCTGCCGGACACATATCCCTGCATGCAATGCAGTTGGCGTGGTCTCGCCCTCACTGCTGGAGCTGCAGTTACTTCCTGCAAACAAACACATTTGTTTTACATTAGTTTGTTTAGCTTTTGTTTGTAGCATCTGAAATGCTTCGGCCTTGAGCTGCTGGCAATAAAACATTAAAAAAGGCTGTAGGTCACAAATCAGGAAAGAAGCTGGATTATTACCGAACCTATTGACTGTAAACATCTACTTAACACCACAACAAGTTCTCAGCTTACGTGAAAGCACCTTGGGGGAGAATAAGAAGAGCTAGCGGCTACAGTAACACTGACAGTGTGTTTTCTGTGTCACCTGTACTGCTGACTCTGGTGCGGACTCCCTGTGGCAGAAGGGAGCTGTGGGTCTCTCTGATTGGCTGCGGGCTGCCAACCAGATCCAATCGGCCTGCTGCAGCTGCCCAGGTTAGGCGCATGAAACAGGCCACAGTGGAGGTGAAGTCGCCCACCTCCATGGTCTAGAAAAGAGACGGAGCAAACGTTGTATAATATTCTACACTTACAAGATAACTGTGGGTGCTGAATTAAGGGTGTTTCAGCTTGTGTACCTGAATCGCTACACGAGCAGCAGGAATGATCTCCTCGACTCTTATGGAGGAACGCTCGGACAAAGACATCTGTCTGTAGGAGGACTTCTCTGGAGTTCCACAAAGAGACAGCTGTCGCCCAGTCCGTCCAGCGTTACGAAATGGACGAGAGGACAGCGCCTCGCCATCCCTGATCACATCATCATCCAGCACCGCAGGCATGCTCTGGCCAACCAGAAGAAACCTGCAAACGCAGCCAATTGAGAATGAAGTCTAACACGGTATATGGCCGAGAATATGCACCCCTGTGTATGTTTGAGTGATGCATTTTGCACCTGGCCAGCTGAAGACAGATTGAGTAGACTCCTTGTCGGGTCTCATAGTCCACCTCTGACGGGATGGAATCTCTCTGCATAACATTCACCACCAGACTGCAGAGGAAACACAGAAAAATACTGCAAAATAACTACAATCGTGAGAAATGATACTGTGAGGCATGTTGGTAAAAACACAAGTTAAATGTTCTTTAACCGGTCAGGGCTCTCTGTTACCTGAGTCCTCCTGCTTTAAGGAAGTTCTCACAGAAGGACTTGCTGCTGGTTTTGGCCATCTCATCATCCGATGTGGGCATAAGCTTTGAACTCAACACCTAACACAGAGAGAGAAGAGGGAGGAAAACCGAGGTCAGAGCCACCAATCTACCTTTAGAGTTTGAGAATATGTGTTGTATATTGTAAAATGATCTACTGCGTTCACATGTGTGCGCACCTCCAGGTTGTATAGCACTCTGAAGGTGGACATTCCCGGGGCTGAGGATCTGAAGAGGGACTCCAAGATGGATGCGGCACTGGGCTGGTGCTGCTGCTTGGAGGCTATAGATGGAGAACGAGAGCCTGTACCCTGGAACAATGTCTTCTACAGAAATGGGAGTCACAAGGGAAGTTCAGAAAATAAAAGAGACAGCTGAAGACAGAGATAATGTGTAAACCAGAGAGAGGCAAGACTTGTTACAATACAGGTACTAAAACCAAACACATCGAATAATAACAGAAAGGTAGAGAACCGAGACTTTCAGAGATGGCAGTTGCCACTTGAGCAGAAGGAATCACAGACAGTCTGACGTACCTGGTGGCTCCAGACGCTGGATTCTTTGGGAACAAAGTTGTCGAGAGCATCCTGCACTTCTGGATCTGTTGGAATCAGCAGCAACAGCTTCCTCACACGAATGGTTATCCTGGAGATTACAAAATAAATAAATGAAATAAAAACTTGATGGTCCTGCCATAGTTGTGTTAACTGTGTTAAATTAAGTTTAACCTGTTGCACAAGGTAATTATTGCCCTAATTATAAAAATTTCTGACATCAAACTTGTTTTCATAACAACAGCTGGGTAGTATGAATATGAACTGTAGTAATTCCAAAGAAAATCATTTGCCGCCAGATAAACATGCACATTTATGCGTGCAGGTGTAGGGGAGCCTGTTTATGTTTCGACACTTTCATAGCCGAGTTTTATATACAGACAGATGGTATCACAATGACCTAATGAATGATAACATTAACCACTGATAAATATACTGTCCTTTCTTTGGTGTATGTAACTTCTCACCTGGATTCATCTAGGTTAGCCAGCTGGTAAAGCATCTCAAAAACATTACACACCAAAGCCATCACCACACCGGGCAGGGACTTCTCCTGGAGACAGAAAAAACCCCCCAAAACAACGTGGGCACAGTGTGTCAGAACTGATGTAAGGATGAGTGTGTATACAGTTTTGTAAGTTTAAGTCATTTCTCTGATGGTACCTGCTCCAAGGCATAGGCAGAGTTGAAGACAGCAGAGCTGGAACTGCTGGAGGCGGAGGCCGAGGACTCAGAGCTGCCGGAGGGAGTGCCAGTGCCTGAGCTCTTCACAGTCAGGCTTTGCTCGTCACTGAAGCCGAGCTGGGACAGCAGCTTCTGGTCCCGGTTCATGGTCAACTAACACATGGTGGAGGAGCAGTGAAGGGACGGAGTGAGAGAAAAACAGGGATTGAGGTTGTTCACTGTGCCCCCCCCAAACAAAGAGGAGGCAGCACCCTGCCTAGAAGAATTCACTGTGCATTGATTTGTAGTTTGTAACATTTACTGGCTTCAGGGGAAACACATAATTGGGAGAAGAGTAAAATCCTTGGATGAGGGAACGAAAGGTAAAATTGTATCTTTAAAACAAAATAGAAACACAGAGTCCCTGTCACTTACAGAGTCCATAACACTTACCACACTGTCATTGGCAAAGATCTGGACATTATCCACCGGACAGCTCAAGTGCTCTGCTATCTTCCACCGGATACTTCCTACTGTCTCATTACTGTGGGTCTGCGAGAAACACACACACAGAGCAGGGTTATTTTCTCTGTAGGTGTATACCATAAAGGTGTGTTACAGGGCAATAGGAAAAATCTTACAGTACCTCTAACGTGAAAGTGTCTTTGGTTGACTCATATGTGATGTGAAGAGTGACAGGATGTCCATTGTACGAGGCCCCGTGAGGTAGAATAGTGCGAGGAACTGAATACATATCCTACACAAAAAAACACACAAAAGGATCTTCAAACATGAAAAAAATCTCATTGATCCTCCACTGTGTTAAGATGATTTAGCACAATTAATGTTTACAGCGATGATAATGAGCCCCTTAAGGCAAAGAAGACAGGGTCTACCTCTATAGTGATGACGTAGCGTTCAGCCAGTAGCAGCAGTCTTTCGATTATCACCAGCTTAGTGGATCTAGAGATTCATATAAACGTTAGTTTCAACAAGACTGAAAAAAAGTGTTTTTACTTGTGTGTTTTAAAGTATTTAAAAATAAATTTACTCTCTATGACGACTAGTTAGTAAGACCTAGAAGAAGGACCACTCTTAAACAAACAAACAAAGGTTTAGTAACCATGTTCTTACCCAAACCCCCCTCTGTACCTGGATGGTGATTGTACAGATGTGGCCACAGTCGGCATGGCAGTGGCCGTCAGCATCTTGGTTGCCCTAGTAACAGCATGTGTCAAAGTAGGCCCACCCAGGGCCGAGCTGGCTGCCTGAGAAAAAAGGAGAAAGAGAAACGAGCTTTCGGGTGTCCACTTCTGAGAAATGGCTTGCTCACTCCTGACAGTAACATATTCTGCTACTTACCTCTAGTCGCTTGTAACAATCAGCAATGAACTTCTTGTGCAAAGACACAGAATCCTGTAAGAAAGAAAAGTCAATATTATATGTGGTTTCAAGTTTCAAAAAGGGACAAAACACAATAGGTGTTGTCAAAAATATTGATTTTTTTAAACATATCGATTCTGAATATTTTAAACGTATTTAATACTCATTTTACGCAGTACTGATGAAATTAACTGATCCTGTTCTTCTTAACACACTGTACTATTAACTTTACTTCATTTCTAAGATAAGATGATTACATAATTTAGTAATTACATTCAGTAATTTAATCAATGTTGTGTCAATTCTCCCCTGTTATATTGAAAATGGTATTGAATATCAATGTTTTTAAAAAGGTATTGTATCGAAGTTAGAAATACACCAGAACACACTGGTTCTCAAACTGAATGTTAAACTGAAGTTGCTCAATTATACACAGTATTTGTTGGTTTTCTGTTTACAAACTTCACTACTAACAACAATATCCATCATTCAATTCAAAGCAAAATGAAGGATCTGTATCAGACAAGTGGCCTCTTTTACTGGCTTTGAACAAGATGGCAGCATCTTAAGTTGTTATTCTTAGATAGCGACACACACCTGAAGGCAATGCTAGAGTGGGCCATAGGAGTATGTGTGTGTGCCCATGTATACTGACCTTCTTCATTTTGGGATTGAGGTTGGTATAGCTATACGTAATAATGAGCTGGATTGCTTCATTGGCTATCTCTTCATCAGGGGTTTCCATGGCGATGCGCCAGATAAAATCCATCCCTGCCAGGTCAAGTCGTTCCACACACTGAAATCAGATCATTTGATACGTCAAATATGAATGTTAATTAAAAAAAAAAAATCAATGTTAAATGACAAAATGCAGAGAGACGTGTGCGTCAGGACTGACCAGCTGAGTTCCCTGGCGTTTGAGGCGATGGTCACACAGATTAACGTTCTCAAAGAAGGTCTTAAACAGATTGAAGCCTGAGAGACACATAAAACATATTTATTGATCTCATATCACATCCTTATTCATACACTAATTCCGACAGGCTGTTATGCTGTCCAGAGTGAATTTCCTTGCAGAGTCTCTCACCATTCATGGTGATCTCATAGGGCTCCAGTTTAAGGATCTTCTCCTTGAAGAGCTGCTGCTGAACATCACTCTCGAGGTCATGTTGTCCTTTGGTAAACCACTCAAAACACATCTGCACACATGAAAACATACTATTAAGAGCAAAGTATGGGGGTTTGTGTTGTTTGCAGAACACTAGTGGGCCCACTGGACGAGCTGTACTATGTGTCGTGTTGAAATGTTTCACTAAATGGAGCTTTATGGACTGCGTTATGGATTCTCGCATTTACCCGAAGACCATTAATGGTGTACAAATCTGAACAAAAAAGGCAAGAGCAGACTTTGTTATTTCATTACACACTAGTAGTACTACTAGTCAGTGGCTTCAAGTTTAGATTTAGCCGCTATACCATCTTTCTGCTTAATTAAATTGATTTTGGATACCTGCCTAAATGCTGCCTTTCTAACATGCTAATTTTAAATATTTAGTTACTTTCAATGCCAAACTCAACCAGCATCTAAAACCTTTGTATGATCCTTTAAAATTTTCCACATAAAAAAAAAAAACTTTTCATTTTTTAACTTATTTGAATGTATGTTTTTCTACCTGCCTTGAACACTGTTCTAAAAGAAACAAGAGGCGTGGAACAAATGGCTAATGTTTGCCTTTGTTTCTTTACAGCAGTCAACCAGAGAATGGCACATGCAGTCAAAAACAAATGGCCAAGGACAAGGAATGTATTTGCATAACTGTGTTCATACCTCACGGTCCAGCTCACAGACATCTGGCCCTGACACCAAGCACTCCCAGAGCTCCTTGGCCCTGTTCCAGACCAGGTATAGGCTTGCCTCCTGGAGGAAGAAGGCCAGGAAGCGCAGGTGGCTATCCAGATACTAAACATAGAATCAGAGAGACACATGTCATCAAACACACATTGTCTACATACTGTACACCAGTGTTTCCCACAGGATTTTGTGAGACTATGGTGGGTGGACCTCGATCCTCTCGGGGGGTCCGGGGGCATGCTCACCCAAGACAATTTTTTTGTACATTTTATAGTTAAGTGCATTAATTTGGTGCACAAAAGCAAAATGAAGAGGCTAGATCTATGAAGAACTTTGCACTCTTGTTAACAAGTGTGTACCCTAGTAAACAACTTGATCATAAACACACTGTATAAAAAAAGTCAACCAATTTATTTAATGTTTTTCCAGCAATTATAAATCAAACAATTATTTGTAAGTAATTTCCATTTTATTTTACTGTTAATGGACACATGTAACATGTTTTATACTTCCTGTGAATATAATCCAATTAATCTTATTTCCATACATGTTGTGTTAACACCTTATTTTGAAAACCGGACTTTGTCACATGTGTATCCTTGCGCTACATTCAACAAGTCCGACGTAATTTGATAAATTATATTGTATGTTGTGCTTGTATCGTGTAATTAAGACTTAATAGGCTCTCTTCAGTTAAGACTCTCATACTGTAACACTTGTTACAAAGTGAGGAAAGGACAGAATAAAGTCGCTAACCTGCCTGTCCGCTCGCATTTACCATAAAGGCTCTAATACATGTGCACTCCAAAATTAGAGGCTAGGCATGATCTTATTCTCACAAACAAGAGACAGTGAAAACACGCTGTTCAAACACTTAGTTAACATTACCATAATTACATCAAAAGAAAAGTGGTTCTCTCGAGTGGTTGCCAAAGTATGTGAACGCGTGAGTTTTCAGCAGCGATGCAAAACACAGCGTTATAAGACCCCTGACATGTACAGCAATTGTAAGTCGCTTTGGATAAAAGCATCAGCTAAATTAATTAATGTTAACATATTTTTGGTTCATTTTGAAACTATCGCGGAACAAAATAGACTGCAGCGGGCCACCATAGTCTCGTTAATTAATGGTAAACTCTAGAATACTGTACTGCTCAAGTTTGAGTACTTTCTGTGTACTGTGTAAACCCAGTACCAGCTCAGATGCAATTATGCCTCTAATGATTTTACTCATATCAATATCAACTTCTGAATTGTAACATAAATCATGTGGATGAGTTGCAATAGTCAACAGTCTCATAGAACAGTAAAGATGATCAATAAAATGACATCCTGACTCCTGATATTAAATCTAACTCAAAAAAAAAAAGCTTCCGCCATAGACGAACCTCCTGGTAGGTGTATCGTCCATCCACCAGAGTTGAGCTTGACAGGCCGTTATTTCCCCCCGCTGTAACAGCCAGCCGGTGGCAGCACACAAGGGATCCCGTGATCAGTTTGACGATCTCAAAGTTCTTCTTCAAGTCTTGGATGATGCTCTGTTGGGGAGTCAGGGAGAGGGTACCATAGCAACATTGCACTGTACATTGGATCATTGTGACGGTGTGTTTGTTTGCATGTGCGCGTTTGTGTTACCTTGTCTTGTTTCTGATAGGTCTGCTTGATGAAAGAACGGGTAATCTCGTGCAGCTGACGGAGAGCAGGAACAACCCAGACTGCCTGAGGACTGCTCTGCTGAGAAGCCTGTTGAGACGCGCACACACACACACACACACACACACAATGATATAACCTAAAGCAGAATGAGCACACAAACATATGCTACAAAAACAGAGGTCCGAGATGGTCATCAGATTTTGACAATAATTAGTCACTACTTTGCCATCACAGACCCACTGTTTTTGTAGTTGTGTAGACATGAGAAAGAAAATCAGAGCCAGGGATGTACAACATTTGGTAAACAGTCTGAAGACTGTTCAAATACGCTCGAGTTTAAATTTGTTCTCTTACAACTGTTTTCAAAATCCAAATCAAATATCAAACATGTATTTTTTTAAATAGCCACGGCTCTGATAAGATCCCCCTTTGCATGAGTAGTGCTAGCATTCCACCAAAGCATTTCATCCAGCAGCTAAATCACTAATTTAATCCAGCCAGCTCTCACCCAGGACAAGATCAACATCACTGTGTAATCATTAGTCCGTGCCAAAGCAGAAGATTAACATACACCTAGTTAAGCTACCTCATGTTACAATCAAGTGTGAAATTATAAACCTGTGACCAATGAAACACCTTGGTGGTCAAGCCCCCCTCCGAGACTGATTATCAGGCGTGAAGCAGCGAGATTGAAAACAGATTGGACAGTGGTCAGTCATAAATTATATGGGCTTCTTCTCTTACTTTGACCAAAGAGTTAGCTTTCTTCTTGCCCCAAGTGCCAGTACGAAATGAGCTTTGAGTGTCGCTGCCTTTACTGTCCTCCTGAGTGTGACTCTAGAAACATACATTTCATTTGAAGTGGGACATTGTGCACAAGTTTATATATATAGTGTATATATCCAATAACAATATTTAGATTTAGAAGATTTAGTTACACCAAAAAGCATCGGAGTAACTAAAGACATTAGTGTTTGTTTTATTGTACTTTGGTGAACCAGTTGGTCTTTTATTTACCTTCACCTATGGTATTTTAAATATAGTCAAGTTTCATTTAAAGGTGTTGTCCAAAGTATGGATGTGCACAATTAAAGTGCAGTTTACCTGTGCTTGTTTTCCTATATGTAAAACAATAAACAAGTCCCCCGATTTATCATTTATAAGCAGTGTATAAACATTGAATAAATGGTTTATAACGCACTCTAAAGTAGCTGTAGTTGTAATTTGGTGTTAACCAATCCTCTCTCTTATGCCTACAGTTAGTCCAAAACCTGGCTGCTCGTATTTTAACTGGAACTCACAAGCGTGAACAAATTACACCTGTTCTGGCCTCACTCCACTGGCTCCCAGTCCATGTTAGAATACACTAAGATCTTGTTTGTTTTTAAATCACTAAAAGGGGTTGGCACCTCGTTTTATCTCAAACCTCTTACAGGTTTACACCCCCTCAAGGTCACTAAAGTCCAGCTGGTAGCCCCAAAAACCAGGCTAAAAACCAGGGGCGACCGCGCTTTTTCAAACTATAGAACTTCCTCCACAGGTCAAAGTGGCCCCCACCCTCGAAACTTTTAAATCCTGTCTGAAAACTCACTTTTATTCTCTGGCTTTTGATCCAGCATGAGAGCTGTGGTTTTGCTGGTTTGCTGTGCTGGTTTTTAAAATGTGCTATATAAATAAAATGGATTGGATAAATTAAATTGGATAAATACACTCATATCTTCTTACAACAACATTACAGTGTGTTATAAACCATTTATTAAATCTTTATATACTACACATTAATGCTACAGTAAATGTGGTTTAATCACAGTAAGTTTTCTGTCAAAATTATTTGACAAATCCTATTTTTATGCATACATGAATATAAAGGAAGTATAGATATTTAGTCTGTAGGCATCTTGATAAAAAACATGGAGAGAGTAAAAAGGGAGGGACTGGGTGAGATCTGCCTTTGTAATGTCACAGTGTTCCTGGCATGGTGTCAGAGAGACTCAATCAACCAGGAGAGGAAATCGTACCGTTTTCTTGACTTTCAGCTACTGACTGACTAACTCATGATAGACACTAGTTGTTTGAAAAGCGAGCCAGAAAATGGCCCCATCTCTATATCCCGCTGCAGCTCCAGGGATGCTGGACAGGGCCACGCTCAGATGGAAGAGATCAAAAAATGTCATGGCAGGAAGAAAAAAAGTAGGGGCCCAATGTAGTGTTTCATTTAAACATGTTGAGCTACAGGTTTGAGCTAAACAAGGACAAGTCCCTGTTTTGAAAATACAAAATAAACATAACATATATAAAGTCTTAAGAGCTGATCCTGGCCTGACCTAGTAAAACACTAAACCGCCTTCACATCCACAATGACAATACTGAGCATCTGCAGCATGACTGTCTCACCTTCTTAATGTCCTCAATACATTTAATGATATAACTGCGTTTCACGGTCTCCTTGACAGCGTAGGCGTCGCTCAGAATCCCCAAGTGCTCCTCCAACGCCTGCTGAACTAGACTGGTAGGCAGGGTGGGGAGGTGAGCCAGCTCCCACAGCACCTCCAGCACCTAAACAAGCCGACACAGACACAATACGCTTCAGGCTTCATTGTAATAATGAAACCTAACATACTGTAGATTTCCTCATCTGGTTTTCCATTTACTTCTCAATGTCCTTTATAGAATGACAGATATACCAACACACCTTTCCAGTTGTAGTTTCAGAGCGAGCTTCTCTGCCAATCCTCCCGATCAGACTGAGCAGCTTCTGCCTCACGCGGTCACTCTCAATCTCCCAGCTCTAAACATGCAAACAGATTATTATTAATACCATGCAAAAACTAACAAACCACTTCTCACTAAGCAAAGTTATTCCTGAAATGTCACAGAGACAGCACTGACCTTCTGGATGAGGACGAAGAGGTGGGTGAGCTGATCAAAGCTGAACTTCACAGCAGCAGCAGCAATGATTGTATGAATGTTTTCTATCACAGTTGATGACTGGCCTGCCTGAAATGCCCACACAAGAATAGATGTAGCAAAAGAGTGGGTGTGGAGGTGGGGGGCTTCTGTGTACATAACATATTGCGCTTAAACTTTAGCAATTAAAAATCCGTTGTTTAATGGCAACATAATAAATAACACCGTGCTATTAGTATTGTGACGTGTGCTCTGGTGCTGACCTGTATTTTCCAGATCTTGGAGAGTTCATCCAGCGACAGTTTACTCCCCAGCAGCTCAATGATTCCCTTAATTCTCTCACAGTACTGAGCCTGATCAATGTTACCTGGAAGAGAGGAACAACTGATGACCACAGTGAACATCGTCAAGCTCAGGCTGAAAGCCTGATCATTTTAAATGATTGGAAAGTGGTTTATTGGTCTTGCAAAGCACTTTGTGACTAACTTAATTTTAGTTGTGGTTCAAAATGATGTATCTTCTTACCCTCCAGTGCTATTGATAGGACTGAGTTCTCTACCAGCCAGTCCAAAAGTTTATCTGTGTCAATGGCATTTTTCACTGTCTTAGACACGGTACTCTCCTCTATTAACTTTGTCACCTGAGAGAAAAAGATACAAAAACAGGGTTAGATGAGACAAAGAACTAATTAAAACACCCAGAAAAAAAAAGTATTTTTATCTCGATTAGACATGAAAGTTCAGATCCTATAAGAGCTGACCTCTTTGAGGGAGTTCATCTTGGTAGAGAAGTGGGGGGTTTTGAGCATGCGCAGCAGTGTGTCCAGCCGCAGGTCATCCACCACAGTAACCAAATCCCTCTGGAACCTCATACACAGCAGCTTGATGGCCGACAGCAGGTCTGGGATGCTCACAAGACGCTACAGTTAAAATAAAAATGAAGAACAACTAAGTTACATCATCCTGGTTAAGTCACAATCAACGTGCAGGAGTTCTTAAAGATACAGTCAATATATTTTTACTTTTTTAGTCTGTTCCCTGTGTTAAATGTTCCATTATCTCTGGTTATGTACCAAGAAAATTTGGAACAAATACTCTTTTCTTCCTGTAATACGTTAATATATTTTTGATGACTCATCTTCAGCTCGAGAGCATATACATTAATATATTTAATGTAATTTGAGATGACTAGCTTACCCTGCCCATCATATAAAACTGCATTGATCGTTAGCATGAAGGTTGTAGTAGCTAGAAAAAGTGATGTCACATGAGGTGTGAGGCAAAAGCTTTGTTTAAATTTTCAGAAAAGCATGGTTTTGCTCTAATATGTTAATTTCTTCCTCATTCTCCGGCTCCTAATCTAACAATACAGGAGAGGTGGAGGCCAACATATGAGACTGGTGACATCACAACTTGTACTGGTGCTGTGGGTAACTTACTACAGCGCCTCATCTCTCTACAGGTCTGTAATGTGTTATATTCGCTAGACCACACCCGCTACTGAGCGTTCCAATCTAATCTAAAAGATTTAAGTCCCTCTTCTAACTAAACTGCTCCCACACGAGTGCAGCAACAAGGACAAGATCCCTTACTGGCTTCTAGGGGTGTAACGATCCACCAAATCCACGTTTTGATTCAGACCTCGATTTTTGAGCCATGGTTCGGTTCATACCTCTCCCCCTAAACTAAAGTTACTTTCGGTTTCGATCCACATGCCACGCACTTGAAAACTGAATCACGAGTGAGTTTATTAAACACGGCGACTTTATGAAACGTCCTGCTGATGGAGAAAGTCAGCATACACACATAAAGGGAGAGAGAGACAGAAAGAGGCGGCGAGAGACGGAGCGTTTGCCGTGAGAGACCAGAGGTGCAGGCTAGGTGTGTGTGCGCGTGTGTGTGTGAGAGAGTGTGGGGAGAAGAGAAGGGGAGAGGAGCAGATTCAAATAGTAAATAAACACTAAAATCAGGTCTAAAATGACCTACAATAACCTACTTTCAATAAAAATAGATATACATATTAATGAGAGCTCAACAGTCAAATGAGCGAGACCGTGGACTTTTGTGTCGGGATTTCTGTCTCGGTTTCAGAACCGTTACAGCCGTGCCATGCTGGGAATTGTACACAACTGTTTTTTGCCCCTGCGCCTTTTCTCTATAAACCAAAGTATCAAAATTGTAAGAGGGTGACAAATATTAAAAGCTACCTTGTCTTTAAGGTCCTTTTCCTCCAGGTTCTGCACATATGTGATCATCTTATGGATGACTGGATCGAGCATGGGCTAGGAAAAACAATAGTTGACAATAGTTGATCCCTGTGGGGAAAATGGGGCACTGCAGCAGCAAAACAGTAAAGAAACAGCAAATAAAAATAGAAAATAAAATCGGAATGGATCATATAATCAAACACAACTGATAATTTCAACACTGGAACAGGGTCAGACAGAATAACTCAAAGGATGTGAATTACAACATAAGGAGAAATAGGCAGAATGTAGACATACACATACATTGTAGAAACTGATTGATAAAAACACTTGTTATACACACGTGATGGTATACTACTTGTGTGTATGTGTATGTACATAGGACAGCTCACCTGGACAAGGCTGGAGTTAAGGTATTCTGCACCAACTCCAAGAGGCTGGACAAGAGCTGAGACACACTGTGTAGGCAGATGGGAAGAGACCGAATAACTCAAGCATAACACAAACTAAACAGGAAATCAACTTATCAAAACCAGCTGAGTATGACTAACTATCATAAGAACCATTCCATCTCTCGTTTTTGTAAGTGTGTCAACTTAGCCTGTCGTGTGTAGCTGAGAGAATGGGATGCATCTATGAGTGTCACTTGTAATCGCTTATTAAAGAAGATTTAAACGACAACAGCACTCTACAACTCCTCTCACACTGAAGTGTTTAGGCCAAAGGTTCATTCTGTTTGAACTGATCCCGTGTTTTGACTGTTGCGTGTGTGCGTAAAACCCATGTGTGAGCGAGGTTCCAGTACCGGAGCCCAGCTGTCATTTGTCATTCAGCGCTACATCACAGGAGCTTCATGAATAGTTCCCGTGTTCCTGTCTTTTTTTCCCCTGGCTATCTTCCATCTCTGCTTCTGGGCTCTCTCAGAGCAGCTACCGTCTCCCTCCACCTTCCTCCTCTATTCACTCAGTGAATCTACCCTCCCATGGCACTTCCTGCTCAAAGCAGACAAATGAATGAGTCACCCCTGGGAGTCATAGAGGAGGGAGCACTCCTCCCATTATCTTTTCTCCTTTCACTTTTCGTGGCTCTCTCCTCTGCTTGGAGTATGTAAGCTATCTCACAGCCTACACACTCTGCTGAGCTCCCACTGCCACTGAAGAGTGCAAAAGTGGTCTGCACCCAGTCACTCCCTTATTACTTATCCCTTATTAACTACTTGGGGTGCCGCACTGAGTGGCAGGCCCCTCACTCTGACATTTCTCCATGTGTTGTTGCTATAGGTCCTGTTTGTGCATGTGTGTGTTTTTCAGACCTATGTGTGTATAATACTAACAATAATAACAGAGTAAAAAAACAATGAATTTCCCCTCACAAGATTAAGAAAGTATATCTTCTTCTTCATTAAAATGCTAATGGTTAGAGGGAGTCTGTGTGCATATGAGTGTGCAAACACACACTTAATCAGTGGCTGTGCACTGCTGTGGTTCCGGCCAGGTTCCCAGAAGGAGGCATCAGTACAAGGATGCCTCAGAACACACAACACAACAGAGCATTTCAACCATCACACAGCGGGAGGATGAGAGAGTGAGTCTGTGTGTAAGTGAGTATTAGTGAAAAGGAGAAAGAGAGAGACATTCAGGACCCTGCAGCTGAGAGTGGTGGGGGTACAAATGCGACCTTTTGCCTCTATAGGCTGTCTCAAAGTCTGCCAAGTAGGAACCATTTCATCACTCTAAAGATATGTCAGACCATCTGTAAGGAAGGCAGAAAGATGAAAGTAAAGCACGGTCACGCTTACAGCAATCTCAATTTCGTCTGTGTTGAGCTTCGTCTGGATGGCAGTGAATCCTCCCAACTCTCCAAACTTGACAAAAAAAGAAGGGAGGGGGGCATATGAGACAAAACTGATACAACTATGGCATATGTATATGAAGACAATATCTGGGTGACAGCTCATTACTCACTCGATTCACCAAATCAACCAGCCAACCATGAGGCTCCTGAAAGAGATCATTATGATTTCAGGGGATTTATTAAGCAATGCAAATTATTGTGACACACACACACACAGGTTATCTGACAGCTGTTGTGTGTCAGTCACACATGTTCTGCTGAGCCCCTGCGGCTCTGTTACAACACTGGGGATAAAGAACTCATTTGTCTTTCCGCCCGCACATGACTATGAACCGTAAACAAATGGCTAATAAGGAGGTGTGTATATTAATACTAGCACCAGCTTTACATGCTTGCAAGTGCATCTGGATAAATTGGCACACATACTCCAGTAAGACTTTACAAGAGTCAGAGTACACGAAGAGTCCAGACAAACGGGGCGTGCCTTACTTTCTGATAGGTGTTGCTAGGAGAGACGGCAAACATGTTGGCCTCATCCCCAAAAACTTCAGCCCAGTTCCTCTGACAGGCCTTCATCCGGTTCTTAAAATGGTACTCGTTATCAGGGTTGAAGGCCTGGACACAGCAACAAAGACGCAGAACATAAACACATACTTTATTGCTGCCGATTATAATGCAAGATTGCATTACCAGTGCACTCAGACTCAACATAAGGCAATTTCCTTAATTGATCATATGCCATGTAACAACTGATTAATCATTTTAATTAAAATTTGGCTAAAACATTTCTTAGTTCTATTGTTTTTCAAAGGTAATTTATTTCTTCAAAGTTAAAAAATATTTAAAGAAAGAATGCAAAAAGGCATTCAAAGACAAATATGAAGAGAAAGTGAGAGAGAACCCACCATAGTCAGGACTCCCATCAGGTTTACGGGTACGGGGTCCTGCTTCACCCTCTCTGCAACCAGCTCCACCAGCAGCATGAGCATGTTATAGATTCCCTCGTGAATCTCGGTGCCCCATTTGTGTACGGCACTGCTGGTCAGCAACTGGTGACGGTGAACATGATGGACAAAAAGTAGTAAAGTCAGGAAAATGTATGTTAATTAATAATATGCTACACCGTCACTCAGATCGCTGGGTCCTTTCTGCTCACCTTTTTAAAGGCCTCCGGCATGCAACGATCCATAAACCGCTTGCAGTTCTCATCAGCGTCGGCGAGACCTGACAAGAGTGGGAGATATCAGCTTCACATATTTATCCCACATCCAAACATAGAAATAAAAAATAAAAACACTTAGGTGTGATGACAGAGATTCAGACAACATGTGAAAAACACCCAACAGTCTAAACAAAACATGCTGCCCACACAATTACACAGATGGAGAGCATTTAGTTTAAGGCAGACCTTTCAAAGCAAAGATTTTCATCCCACACAAACATGGTCTTACCGTGCCGAGCGAGGCAGGTGGACGCGATGAGACACTTGCCCAGGGACTCCTCTCTCTTGTATGGTATGGACCAGTGGTCGGTAAAGACTCTGCTCTCCAGCTCGTACAGGTTGGTGGTGGGAAACTCCATGCTGCCCCCGGAGCAGTTCCCATTCTCATCATTGCTCCTCTGTAAACACATATACATGACAAAATTAC